ATTGCGCCTCATATGGGATGGGTCAATCTGATACTCGACGCCGTGGGCGAGGTTGACATGAAGATCCGTGGGTCGACACTGAAGTTCCGAGGGCCTGGGTATCATGACAAAGTAAGGGACAGCTGGACAGGAAAATTGAGAACACTCAGCTGACCAAGTCCATAGAATTGGTCTGATCAACCCTTTGTGGATTCTGTCCACAGCTGGTACTGGGGCCACGGCCGTCTAGGGCCGTACTCGATTGTATGGTTCAGTTACCTTGCCATTGATGACCCAACCAACACCACATATGTGAGCAGTTACGTTGCCAAAGATGGGAAGGTGCTTGTATCGGCCTGTGAACCCTCTATTCTCACCGTAAGGCCGATCGGTAGTCCCGGGACTACTGGTGGGCGATATCCGCCACGCGTGGGTGATCTACCGGAAGGATTCCGATTGGAACATGACCTCGGAGAGGGAAGTGGTCAGTTGAAAGTTAATGTGTCGGTGAGGATGGTGGTCGCTGGGAATGGAAAAGATTATATGAGATGGACAGGAGACATGGTTGGCGAGGTAATTGAGTCGGAGAGCCGACGACCACAAGAGGCCGGTGGTGGTAGTGGCCCTAAAAAGGACATGAGAGAACGTGCCGAACAATCATCTTCATCTCTCGTTGGTGTTGCGGTCTTTGAGCAATTCGTTATGGTGGAATAGAGGATTCCGAAGACGAGCATTATCAAATGAAGTTAATGATATGTTTATATTCTATACTCACATATAGTATATAGAAAAACACCATTCTTGGATAGTTCCCAACTTATGTAAAAGAAAGAAATGGGAATATAACGGAGATAATCGGGCAACGCGCGAACGGAAATGGGAAGACACAATAATATATTGCAGACAACATGAGACGAAAGAAAATGACGACCCCCGAAACATTACTGGGTACTTTGCTTCGACTTCCACTCTTCGACCAGACCTCGGTAATCCTCAACACCATATGGCTGGAAGCACCTGGCCAACAAGCCGTGCTTGCGCTGTGGTGACAGGCCCAGTTCTCCCAGCATCAGATCAACATATGGGATGGCGTCAAACACGAAGTCGGGGTTCCGCCGCCCGAATCCTCCCGGGTAGCGATATTTGCCAAATTCGGTAAAGAGAGCTGTCTCCCAGGCGAGGTCGATTTCTGATGTGTCTTCCGTCTTGAGGTCAGACGCAGCACGCACAGCGAGTGGGCAGATTTCGCGTGTAGCCGGAGTCAGATCGCCCTTGAAATAAGCCGAAATCCACAGCGCCTGGGTCTGGGCAATTAGGGTGGTGTTGATGGTCATGGTGATACCCATGAATGCTAGAGAGCGTTCCTTTACCAGCGAAAGTGGGACCATAAACTTTGCCAGCCGGAAGGGGTGCGGCACAGCCGCCTCGGACTGCTTGTTTAACGGGGTGTAGTTGGGGTTCGGGTTAGGTTGATCACGCAGCCGGGGGAACCGGCGTAAAATCTCTTCGTCTGCCTCTTTCACCAGGTTTTCGTTTAGCGGATCCACACTCCAAGGGAATCCCAACTCCCGGTCAATGCCTTCTGGCAGGAACTTGAGGTTTGGAGTGCAACGCCAGCCGGTAGAGCAGATAAGCGCTGAAGATGGCAGCGCCTCACCTGAGGACAGATGAACAGTGTGATCCGAGAGACGATCTAGATCAGCGATATGCACCTTGATAGTGCCATCCTTGACAAAATCGAAGAAATTGGTCGGATAATTGAGGATGCTGAGCGAGGAAGCGATCCAGAATGGGCCCACCCAAGGCTTCAGCTTTTTCGTTTCCGGGTGCTTATCGTACTCATTCAACTGCACGACATCATCGGCTAAAATAGCCCAGAACGCGTCCACGATCTTACGACCCAGCCAGGTACCATGCAAGAAGCTGCGAACACCAGTATACCCATCGGCCTCTCCCCAGATACATGGACTGAACCAGGTCAGCAGGCGCGTTGTGACCAGCTTTTCCAGCCACTTTTTCAAGGGTGTCACATAGGGAGGGGCCATCCAAACAGGTCCATGGCCTGACTCACGAATGATCCAGTCTACTTTCATACCCGCCGTTGCGCAGGCATAGGCCGCATCCCAGGCCGACTTGGTCCCGCCAAAAATGGTTGCGCGCTCTCCAGACTGCAGTACTGCACCTTGATGCTGTAGCAGATCGCGACAGTGGAAAAGTGGCGCACCAAAAGACTCCTGTCCCTCGAACGTAGGCAGATATGCCTGGGATGTGATACCGGTGGCCACAATCATCTTCTTCGTATCGATTGTTGTCGTATCCGCTCCGTGCGACACGCTCAACTGCCATGTTCCGTCCGAGGTGTGTCGCGCGCTTTCAACATGGTGTTCCAGTCGAACGCAATCGGAAAAGCTAAAGTGTTGCACATATGCCTCCATGTATTTTTGAATTACATGGCCTGGAATATGCTGTCCAGGCTTGATACCAAAAGTCGCTTCGTCCATAGGGAAGTCGCTATACTCATACGTGCCCAGCATATTGTTCGACTTGAGGCCTTTGTACAAACGATGCTTAGCCCATACTCCGCCAATAGAGCTAGCAGTTTCCAGCAAGAGCACATTGTGGCCGGGATTGACCTCGCGGTAGGTCTTGACGGCGGAGAGCCCGCTCCAACCTATTAGTAGCCAACGTCAGGGAGATAGCTTGCGACGGCGAAGACTCGACTTACCTGCGCCTACCACCACAAGATCCACGGACTCCATTTTTTGAACAGTCCCTTGCTTTCGTCTTTTTTCTTCTTTTCTTGGAGTAGAAAATAACCGATTGCGCGCCCAGGATTAATGCACGAATTGATGTACAAGCAAACAAACACAAGTCCAGATTACGGGAAACGAAGGAATGAGCGACAACTAAAAGTATTAGCGTCGAATACTAGTAGCTTTTTGAGGGGTTTTTAATTTCAGCCCTTGCTGTTGCAGGGCACCCGGGAGGATGGAATGGTGGGACTATTAAATTAGCTTAGAAAAACTCACATTTGACAGTTTTAGTAAAGTTCAGCATACATTTCCTGAGACAGACATCATGGAATTACATACATTGAAGAACCCAAGACATTTGAAAGACCGAAGACCTTACGGAATAGATGATCCTTTAATGGTATTATTATGGCTCACGAACTACCCCTTGATCTATCTGGGTACCGGACTACTGCTTGGCATGCACTTACTTTGTACTCCGTTTGGAGTACGGAGTAGACCCTTCAGTGCCCCCAGGAGCTTTTTCTACAACATACAACATCGAGAGGATTCAGATCAGCACTGAATAAATTTTTTTTTTTTTTTTTTCTTCGCTCCGTCGTTTGAACCATTTTAGCCCCGCTGTCAAAGCGTGGCCAGGCCCGAGATCGTCAGTTCTTCTAATCTTAGGTATTTCATCTCATCAGCGAGGTGTGAACAATAATACTCCACTGTTATTTTAGATACTTTGGACTAGCTGGCGTTTGGATTTACCAATTTTGGGCCAAAAAAAAAGAAAACAAAAGTCGGGACCAACAATATGCAGGTTGCCATTCCTCGGTTGGTATCTCATTTCGACTATTGGACACTGTCCAATGAAACTGTTTGATCTCATGCAAAATTATTTGACACGGATACGAGTACAAGGCTCACAGTTGCCGCGACTTTGAAAATTGAGGAGAAACCGAACTGCCCGTTACATCTTCGTATATGACCCGCTTTTTTTGATCCACCAAGTGGTTGGCAGTGGGAATTTAACGCTGTTGTGAACAAGGTTTTACCTTTGAAACATGGCATGTTTATCAAGGGGCTACGTACACACAAGGTTAAGGTTGATAGCGTAAATGGAGGCTGTCAATCCCCTAATTCGGACCGAAACCCGCGGCCTAACTCAGTACTTGTGATATCTCCTGGACTCGTTCGGCGCGTTACCTAAGAAAACGGCGTCGATCGGTTATTGGTAATCATACAATTGGCCGGAGCGTCTGATAGCTGGTCCCAAATGTTCCGTTACCTACATATCCTCGGAGTAATATATGGCCTGATCAGCAATCAAACCAACCCAAAAGAGAATATGGATCAGACACATTGATACATACCTGCCCTTGCTACAACATTGTATGGCTTGTTCCCCATAATTGGTTAAAATACGCAAGCTTTATGCAACTGCACTACTCCGTAAGTCTGTCTTTGAGATGGTCCGTTTGCGCGTCATAGATCGTAAGAGAGATCCCTGCTAGCATTGCGGTCCATTGCTGCTTCTCAAAATTGGCCTAGTTGATGTTGTGCCTGGTTGTGGTACGTTGTGTGTAACCGAAATGAACCTTAGGTTAGACAAAAGTGAGTTCTATCAGGGTACTTCGTATTGGATCAAAAACTTGCTCATTACTCCGATCATTCCCGCAATGGGGAATGATCGATGGACTGACGGGAGATGTGGACCCTTTGACTACCAATTTACACTTCCAGGAACCAGTAATCTTAGAGTGGAACAAACGATCCTCTCGACCTTAAAACTGCTCCCCGGCCCGTTGAAGGATCCATATTCCGCGCCCAGCACCAAAGATAGTCTATCGCTGTCCAATAAGACTTGTGGATGTCGCCACTCTTCCGTGGGGAGTCTCGAACCTGTCATCAATTCTCTTCACCTTCGGAAGTATCTCCGTAATAGACGGGACTTGCGGTTTAGCCAATGTGGGCCACAATAAGTAACTAAGTAGGCACGGCCAACAGACCTTTGAGATCGATCCTGTCCTTGCTTTTTCTTTTCTTTGTTGGTGTTGATAAGTCGACTAAGGAGCGGGCTTGGTTCTTTATCCGGTCTGATTCCAATAGCAACGAGCAAGACCAAGGGAAATTATTGAGATACTGCCTTCTGCCGCTCGTTTCCCCCCTGGGTGCAATTTGACTTTCTCTCCCTTTATCTAAATACACACCCTGAGTTGAATGGTTTTTTCCCCTTAGTTTTGATGGCATATACCACAAATATATCACCGCAACTCGTCAACTATGGATGGGTTTAATACCGAAGCATTCACTTTGTTGGGGGTAGCCATTGTCATCATTGGCCTACGAACGACCGCAAGATGGATTATGGTTGGCCCAAGAGGGTTCCAAGCTGATGATTATCTAATGATAGTGGCATGTGTGAGTTGAATTGGAACCTGTGGACTCTTTGCTTTCATCCCGCTAATCAATATGGGTATAGGTGGTGTATGGGCTGGAAACCGGTGCTGCGTACATGGTCGGCGCGTGGTTCATGGGCCTTGCCAATAATTCGATGACGGATGAACAACGAAAAAGTTTGTCGCCTGATTCGGAAGAGTATCGTTTGCGTGTGGGTGGCTCCAAGGTCCAGGTCGCCGGCTGGTCATTATACACTCTGTTATTATGGTTGCTGAAAACATGCATGGCCATTTTCTACTCTCGATTGACGTGGGTTTTCATTCTGTTACATCTATTTCGTTCTCTGTTACTGATGTGTATCTTACTATCTAGTGCAGGCTTAGTGAATATGCGAATCCGAATCCACATCGCCTACGTTCTGATCGCCATAACGTATATTGCTACAATCTGCTCGATTCTCTTCGGATGTCATCCAATGGAGAAAAATTGGCAAATAGACCCAAACCCTGGGAGTACGTCATACCTTATTGACATGTTACCTTGAGAGACTGTGCCTCTGATTATTGTTAGATTACTGTCAGCCCGCCGTGTCCAAGATCGACATCTATGTCACTGTGGTACTTAATGTCGCGACCGACCTCTATCTGCTTAGTATTCCAGCTCCGGTAAGCCTCTCTCTAAACATTTGGGTGCATTGCCACTAACAATAACTGCATCAAGATGCTTGTCAAAGCGCGACTAAAATGGCGGGAAAAACTCGAGCTCCTGATTCTTTTCAGCGGTGGTTTATTTGTGATGATGGCTGGTATTCTGCGTTGTGTCCTCATCTTAACAGTAAGTCGTATTGAGAGTCACTTGATGAAATAACAAAAAAATCTAATAGTTCATTAGGCTGGTGCAAATGGGGCTCAACAAGCTGGCAGCTGGGCCTGCCGCGAGACTTTTGTCGCCGTCGTCATCGGAAATATTCCCATGATATACCCGTTGGTAAGACGGTTCACAAAGCGTGCTGGTCTATACATTTCATCAAAGGGTGGCTCAGAGAGCTACCCTGGATACCCTCTATCAGATGCCGACACTGGCGGCGGCGGGTATTCCAGACGCAAGAAGTTCCGCCATCCGCTATCGATTCCTGCAGACACCCAATGGAATACAATCAGCGACGAGCAAATGATCTTACCTACCTCACGACAACAACCGCCCACATGCACCGCTGGCGACGGCGACTGGGATTCCCACAGCCAAGGTAGCCAGAATGGAATAAAGGTTGTCCATGAAACAATTATTCACAGCACCGAGAAGTCTCCTCGGCTATAGTACGAAGATTTTCAATTTAAAAATCTTGCAGACGCTTTTCATTTCTCTCATTTTGTTGACCATGTGGATATTTGAGCGTTGGCATGTCTTTTCATTTGATTTACTTCTGTTGTGTATATTCTTATACCCCTTTTCGCCTTTCCTCTCGGCTTTCGTCCATTTTACTTTTCTTACGAATCCAAAACTACATCACGGAGAACTACATCTAGTTTCATCCAAGAAATTCGCAATCTCACAAAATAATATTTAAACTTGTTTCCAGATCCACATATTGTGAGACCGATTGTGATTTGAACACATTCTAACCCATGCATATTGTTACACAAAACTTGGTTTCAACTGAGTGGATGCAAATTTCCATTCACTTGCTGTAGCAATTTTGTAGAGCCTTGTATCAAGGGGTAGGAATTTGAAACGGATCGAAGGTATGCAAGGAAGATATTTACTGAGGGCGAAGCAAAAAGGAGATACCATGGACGTTGACTACCTAGGAAGGAGGAAACTAGATCTATAGCGAACGAATAGGAGGTGTTGACAGCTCGGTAGTGATGCAAGTGATGCGGTGGGCTTCTATCTATGCAAGGTGATGGATGGATTGGCTGAGATGAGACCACTAGGCGGGTCCCCATGGGACTGCTTTCTGCAAGCCCTGAAATGTTTCAAGGATACTTGTGTTTTGTTTTTCTCTCTTGTCTTCCCTCTGACTTACTATCTCCCTCTATAACGGGACATAGTCTATCTCAGACCTGCAAATTTAACCTCCGGAAATTTTGTCTCACCACGTACATAGTGCCACCTGTAAAGGGGCTTGTGGAACAATGAGCGTTGACATAAATATGTTGGAAATGTGAGTGTGTGACAGAACCTGCATTGGAGTACTTCAATGTTCCCGTAATTTTATAGTAGTATCATCGAACTCTATGATGATCCAAGATATTGGAACCTTCCCTAAGGCTGCATTTCGTGAGTTATTGATGCGTAGTTACATCGCGCATTATCTGCGGAAGGCAAAAGGATATGGAGCAAGTCAGTAAAATGCAGGCCCCAATGGGTAACAGGAAGACATCGACTAGTATATATCTATGTACATAGGTACTAGTATATATGTTCAGGGCAGTCCCCAGTTTGAAAGAAGGCATTTAAGTATATTGAATCTACTATTTGGAATTATTGTAGTATCTCTCTATAGGACGGATGCATGTGATGTGTGTTGTATAGCAGTCAGAAGTTCTGGCTCGATGAGTCTCCACCCAGTAGACGGAAAGGGCCCGGCTATGATTTATTATAACGCGTATCGGAAAAAGGGATTCTGCTTGTCGGTCAGATCGTCAAATGCAATCTTGTCTCGCTGCACCTCATCTAATTCCAATGATTCCCGAATTCGGTTTTCCCGCCGAAGGACGAAATATAACACGACTGCGGCAGCAATTGTGATACAGTAGCTATGCTTCGTTAGATCGTCCCGAGGAAAGTAAATTAGATATAGGCTTACCAGATGATCATGCCAGTCCACAATTCTGGATAATGTTGTGACTTAGTGTTGCTTTTCACAAGCTGCGGTCCGATGATGTTGCCGACAGTGTAAGCCACAAACACGGTTGCTGCCATAACGGTCTTCTTCGTGGCTCCAGCGACGTTGCTAGCTCCAATTGTGATGATCAAGCTGACCACTGGCCCAAAGAAGCCGGTGAGCGCATAGCCGACGACTGGGGTAACTGGATGATATCCCCAGTGGGATTTCCAAATCATCACACAGCCAGCAATGACAGGTAGGCAGCAGGTAATGAGCAAGGGTATGCGGGTGTTGGGGACAATGGTAGGAATATAACCACAAAGAGGAATGAAGATGACACAAATGGCGCCAACGGGAAACTGGAATAGAATTGAATGAAGGGTATCATAGCCGAAGGTGGACACAATCAACGGCCCAAAGCCCGAGATAGCACCATTTATAGTGTATCTAGATATAGATATGTTAACATCGAGAACTGTATGGTGTCTAATACCATAAACCACACAACAAGAGAGAATACTCACGCTGCCGCCATCATGATAGCCACCAGATAGATCTTAATGTCCATAAAAGACTCTTTGATTTGATCGAACTTGATCTTCTGGCACCGAACACCAGTTTGACCCTTGCGTAGTCTCTCTACAGCAACTCTTCGTTCTTCCGGGGTTAGGAACCAGGCAGAAACTGGAGAATTAGGCATGGTGCAACACCAGAGGCCAAACAAGAAGGTCAAGGCACCAGCCAGAATATAGATATACTGCCATCTTTTCAATGACCCAGCTGTGATTTGACCAAACCCATAGTTCAGCGCGCCACCGATGATAGTGAACCAACCGGTGCCAGAGAACCACCATGCCTGTCGTAGAGTCTGCTCCTCTTGTGTATACCATCCGCTGACGATGGTCATAAATCCGGTAGGAATAACACTTTCAATGAAACCTATCTTTTATTAGACAAGAGACTAACAAGGGAAATTAGAGCTGAATTTACCAAGGAAGAATCTTTGCACAAAAAGGCCTTGCCAGGTTGTCACGCCAGCGGTGGCGGCACAGACAATGGCCCATATCAGAACAACTGGACCGAGGACAGTTCGAGTATTGAATCTTTGCAAGATGAATGTCATTGGATAGAGACCAGCAAGCATCCCGAAATAAAAGATTGACGTTGCCCAGCTGAGGCGTGAAGTATCAACAGATGGAGGAGAAGTGGAATAGTCTTTCACTAGCAATCCCAAATCGGTCGTCATGCCAAAGAGCGTGGCGCTACCTAAGATAGCCTATAGAGAGATCAGTATATGTTGGCTAATAAAGAAATCGGCGCAGTCATCAAACCTTGTCATAGTACACCATGCCATAGCCTGTGTTTGAGTTAGTCAACAATTTAGGTCACAGGTATGAAGGATAACTAACCTATAAGCATGGCAGGCATCAAATACAGATCGATCTTTCGTAGAACTCGTTTTTCCACCACCGGATCAATTTCTTGGGCGAACTCGCTCACCACCGCCAACGCTGCATCTTTGTTGGATGAGACATGGGGCAATTCGGCGGCGCTTGTTATGCCATGGACCTGAATCATCTTCTCACACCAAAACGACTCTCCTGAACGTCACAGAGACCGAAAAGTTATGTATCTTAGCACTTTGAGATATGAGCAATTAACAAGTGCGAGATGAGAGAAAATTTGTTTTTTAGACTTCGTACCTTCCAAATTGGGATGCCCGATATCGCGTGGCTGTATCTTACCGCCTTTTGATTATGGCAGAACTAGCCATCGGAGAAAGCGCCCTTCCGCGGAGACAAATCACTTGCCCAGATGGTAGGACGGAATACTATTATTGCTATTATTATCATTGGATTGAAGGCCTCTTCTAAATGTGCTCTCAATTAGATGACACAGATCTCATCGACAGTCCTCGAAACCATGATTGTAAGAGCTTTATTTACAAAGTCCATGTCCTACCTTAAACCCGACACAGTTTCCGACGAGGTCCAGTATTGATATAGGTATCGCCAGTCATTGCTGAAGAGCGAGTTGAAAAAAGAGTTGAAAAGATCTTCTCCGAAACCAGCTTGGATGCAACGTGAGATGGATGATTTCCTATATCTAGCCACATAGAAAGCCGCGCCTGCGTACTATGGAAAGCTAAGGGTCTATTCTATAATCCAAACGGGAACTCAGGCTGCACCTATATGATTACATAATAACATTTAACCACTCGGCTAAAAGATCATCGCGATCGGAATCTCCGATTGTAACTGTAGCGGCATATGTACTCGGCCCTAGATTCTGCTCGGGACCACAATTCCCTACGGTAACTGACACGTGACTTTATACTTTTACGGCTATTTTGGTGGGAGCTGAGCTGAGCAAGCCTGAGCGTATGATGTCATCAACTTTCAGCCCTCGAAAGTCTTAGGTTGACCAAGCCCCTGGCAAGGCCATGGGATAAACAAGTCTGGAAAGATTGGGACTTTGCCCAAGAAACTCTTTGCATCGAGGTTATAATCACGAGGAAGTCCGGCGGAAAAAGGCCGTGATATTACTTCGAAATCATCATCGACAAGGAGGGCCCACTCGATTGCATCACAGATCGTCTTGTTGCCGATTAGAAACTCTTTTTTTTCCGGCTAAACCTGGTAGTCTCGCACGGTTTGATCGCTTCTCGGTGGGAAACATGCGTAGTGACGTATTAGAGCAGTCGCCTATAAAGCAGACTCGTGGGCTGATAAGTGTTTAACACCCGAATGCTTCCTCAATAAATTCCAAATTTCACGAAACTGTATTTTGAATCAATATTTCCCACAATGGCAATCAAATTCACCGTCTACAGGGGCTCCAAAGATGGAATCAAACAGGTTGAGACCGAGCGGGATGACCTCAAGCGAGACGAGGTCCTAGTGCGAACCACGCATTCAGGAGTGTGCGGCACAGACGTTCATTACCAGTCAGTTGACATGAGCCTTGGCCATGAGGGAACGGGTGTCGTGGAAGCAACTGGTCCAGATGCGAAGATTTTGAAGAAGGGCGATCGTGTGGGCTGGGGTTATGAACATGACTGCTGTGGCTTCTGCAAACAATGCCTCACTGGGTGGGAGACATTGTGTAAGGAGCGAAAAATGTACGGCTTGGCCGATCTCGATCAGGGATCTTTCGGCAGCCATGCCGTCTGGCGTGAAGCCTTTTTGTTCAAGATTCCCGACAACATGAGCAATGAAGATGCAGGACCTCTGATGTGTGGTGGATCAACTGTTTTCAACGCCCTCCATGTCGCTCAAGTTCGTTCGACCGCTCGCGTTGGTATCGTTGGAGTGGGGGGTCTGGGGCATCTGGCTATCCAGTTCGCCGCAAAGATGGGCTGTCAAGTTGTGGTGTTCTCCGGCACAGACAGCAAGAAGGAGGAGGCGACGAAGCTGGGAGCCGGTGAGTTCTATGCGATCAAGGGTGTGAAGGAGTTGAAGATCAAGGCTCCTCTCGATCACCTTATTGTGACGACCAGCAGTCAGCCGGATTGGCCACTCTACTTAAATGTCATGTCCCCCGGTGGTATCATTTCACCTCTGTCCGTCGATTCAAACGATCTCAAAATCCCATATATGCCGCTGCTCTTGAATGGCCTTCGGATTCAAGGAGGCATCGTGGGTTCGAGACAGGTCCACAGAGATATGCTTGAATTTGCCTCATTCCACAACATCAAGCCTGTCAAGATGACGTTCCCTTTGACATTGGATGGCGTCAAAGAAAGCCTGAAGACATTGGAAGACGGAAAAATGCGTTACCGTGGCGTTTTGGTGGCACCCTAGAATGTTGACATGCGGAAAAAAAAGCCAATTGGGTGTTTCTGATCCAAGTGAATAATCTGGAAGTCCAAGTCTACATATAAAAACAGTCAGAATGGATGCAAATGATGTAGTGTTCATGAATTTGAAGTTGTTCATTCTTGCTCGCGCATAGTTAGCATGTGTATGAGAAAAAAGTAGAAAAGCGAAAGAGCAAAGGTCTTGGGACACAGCAGAGTTCAGCGAGAGAAGTAGGACTGCGGGGAGGGAAGAGGGAGGAGCTAACAGAGAGGCTCTGTATCTACCGAGATGGTTTGTCTGAGAGGGTTTTATTACCTATTGATACTCAGAAACCAATGGTGGATTGATGTTCCACCACAAGTAGATGCGGAAACGGAACCTACATAGAAATGGGAAAGGCGTGGTTTATATTCAACAGCCGGAAGGCGAGGACCTTGATAGAAGGTGGATGGAGCCATCGACGTCAACCGCTTGGCAACTAATGCGACTTCCGATTTTTAGAGTGAATTTTCGCAAACATGTCTATTTGGATACAAAGCCATCCCATAGGGGCCAACTTCTAGACGCAACCTGCAATGGAACCAGCTCAAAGGCGCCCTTGAATTGGTTTATCTTCCCCATCCCGAATATCGGCAGGGGGCAAGCGAGGCTCAGGCAACCCCAAGTCGCTTGCAACCTCTCGGGCCGCCCAGAGTCCTGTCACGAATGCGAGAGCTAGACCCCCAGCGTATCCGAGATTACTGAAGCCGCCAGCATCGACACCCGCGACGAGCAAACCTGGAATTCTGGATTTATCCGGGGTCAAGGCGTGCCCTTTCGCATCGATCGCAATACCGCCGTAGGTGAATGTGATACTATCGAACGTTAGATAGGAGAATTGGAGCGTGCAAGAAATAACCTACGACGGCTGGACCTCCATGGCATAGAATGGACCTTCCCCATCCACCAAGGGTGTAGGGGGCGAACCGGCACGACCGATAGGTGCGTCAAGGGAAATGCTCTTGTCTCCTAAACGCACTACTCGATCATACTCCTCGATAGTACGCCTTGCTTGTACATCATTCACACCCCACGCGTGAAGAATATCCGTCAGACCATCCAATGTTGACACACTTCCAACATTACAGCCATGTTTGCGGGCTTTCTGCAGACGATCGATATCCCCTGCATTAGGGAACAACGCAGTAACGCAGTGTTTGAGTCGAGTTTTCTCGCTAGAATAAGAAGTCGATTGTCAGAGTATCGCCCCAATCCCCTCTTTTTAGGAACTAACATACTTGAACAATATGAACCCGCGACGCTTTGGCTGTTTGGCGAGATACTGATTGATGATCTCGTCACCTGTAGTCTCATCGGCAAATCGCTGACCTGCTTCATTTAGCAGTAGGCAATATTTGCTTTCTGCGGCTTGATTAGAGATAAACGCGGAGTCGATAAGGACTTGCTCTTACGGTATTGTGCGAGTGGAAGATAGTCTTTTGGGTCCACGTCTTCAGCTCGAAGTGGAGCTGCCAGAAGATGACCATAGTAGGTATTCATTCCTCTACTGGTTCCCGCACCAGATTCAATGGCCAACTTGAGTCCATCTCCCACTGATCCAGGATTGGAGCGCACAAAGATATTGTCTCCGCCTTGTCCCAGATATTTGGATCTCATCCCTGGAGAACCCTGGAAGCCCCCCGTAGCCAAAACTACCACTTTGGCTTTGACTTTGTAATATGTAGTTGGCGAATTGGGAGAGTTTCTGCAAATGACAGCGCCAATTATGCTCGATCCTGAAACCCCGGGCTCTTTCTGAATCAACTTGGCCACCGACGTGTTGGTGAAAATATCGGAATTTGTTTTGCTAGACTGAATGCGCTGTCGATGGAGGTTATGAAGGCGTGGGATCTTAATTGGAAATCCAATACCTATGACTTGTCAGGTTAACCGTTCAAATTCTTTTTCCTAGTCTTACCGATTGTCATGATACCGTCGAACCGGTCTGCTGTTGGCACCTCATTTTCACGCATCCACTGTACAGCAGGTAGATAGTCGCTTAACCAGGCCTTCTGCAATACTGGATCTCCTTCTGGGACCCAGTTTCTCAGCTTGTTATATGTTTGTGGGGCCCAGCTATCCGGTGATGGTATTAACGACTTCGTTTGTCCGGAAGATTAATTCCACCACTTACAACATTCCTGCCGAATAATTTGAAGAGCCACCAACATCCGCTTGCTTCTCGACGACCAGTACTTTGGCTCCTGCTTCCACCGCAAAAGCAGCGCATGCCAATCCAGACATACCTCCTCCGCAGACGAGAACATCGACCTCGATAGTCTTCATTGTGGGTATGGTTGGTGTCAGACCAGAAACGTAAGGAGATGAAATAATTATTTCTTTAAATCCCGTCGAAGAGAGTCATTAATATTTAACATAATGATTATATTGGATATTGATACGGACCTATAGATGCCTCGGTGCCGGCGAATAAATTAAGTGGCCGGGTGGACACCTGCGCCTTCATATGGCGGCTGAATGTAATTCCATGGATTAAACGCCCATGAGTGAGCTCCAACCAGGAAATTTTGGTCTGTGGTTCACCTTGGTTTTCCCCCGTTCCATCAGGGTAGTGTTTGGGGAGGGTCGCACCACCTTTTTTTTTTTGTTTATACGGCAAATTTATAGAATTTGTACTAGAGTGAACTTCTTCTCAAAGCATTCGATGTATCGATGGTTTGCATATGCTATACGGCAATATTGTGCTATCCTGATTTCGGAGTTTCTACTGCAGATGATTTCAAGGTCGCTATTTTTACATAGCGTTCAATATTCTCATAACTACCTATTGGTATGCCGATCAAGCCCATACCGGAAGGATATTTCTCGCCATGAAGTCACTCCTCTTTTATCCCAGTTGTTGGGTACTCCATGGGCAAGCTAAAAGTTAGGACACGAAGTGGTTCCCATTGAGTATCACACTCACGAAGGGCGCGAGTCCTACATATCAGTATGAAATACTTCCATAACACCCATCCAGTGTATCCCAGGTCAAACACATCCTACGCGACCTCGAGTACAGGAAACGCACAACTCAACTGAAAATAAGTAATTTGATTTGGCGTGATAGTTCGTTTCATTTTGTCTAAGGGTGGACGTAGATTTGCCAGGCCGCCTGGCCGAGGAGCCACAGCACTGAATGGATTGCCTGCGTCTTTGGTAGAAACATTGAAGATATCAAGACAGTAACGAACATTGGGAAGATCAACAAGCTTGTTGATCTCATGAATTTGCTACTAAGTGTTGAGGTGGGTTCCCCAGGCGGGCGCTTCATATCCGACTTGCAAATAGTATTTTTGGACAAGGAGACCTAATCGCTTTATGTTGGCGGCAATTGTGGTTATCTCTGGCGTAATTCTCATAGGATCGACAGGGTTGAGGCAAGATGTGATCTATAGTCAAATGCGAGGCCATTCTGCCGAAACTCCGAAATCAAACTATCAGTGGATGCATACTTGAAAGATTGGAATTCGTATTAATCGACACAGCTCAAACCAGAGGTCCGCCTCTGGACGAGAGCCAACTTCGGCTACGTAATAAGTCCATCATATGCGCCAAATAGGTTGAGTGCAACCAAAGCTCAAGATAACTCTTGCGCTTTTTTTTATCAACATCAGCAGCGGCTCGCACAGGCGGGAAGCTCGAGGAGACATGTGCTGCAAGACACTCGATCGCAATCCCCACTCCGTCGAATCCGGGTAATTTGAAACGATTGTGCCAGCCCGTGGATTTAGACAATGCAGCATGGTATTTGGTATCTGAACAGAGTAGGGTTGTAACTGGAACGACATTGGAGGTAGATGGAGGTCGAGGCGTGTAGAGCTGCAATCTCATAGCTGAAAATTTCCCCGCAGTTTTGAAATTCCGGGGAGATTTTGATATTTACCCACTCTTTCTCTCTCCTCTTAAGTCAATCTATATATTTCGATTGATTACTTCGATATATTATTATTTTGATTCCTAGAGCTCCCATGTCATCATATTCTGGGGATGATAACCGATCTGGCCAAACTCGCCCCGTCAGTGCGGCCGCGTGTGAGGCATGTCGGACAATGAAGGTATAGCCTCCAATCCTGAACCCCAAGTGATACATACTAAAAAAACCTTGTAGATGAGATGCATCCGACGACAAAGGGAGCAACAGGAGGATAACTCGACAGAACCATGCCAACGATGTAAGCGCACCAACCGCGAGTGCAATATACCAGAGCCGAGAAAACTTGGGAGAAAGCGTGGTGCAACAGGTCGCTATCAAGGATTTGAAAAAGCCTATCGAAAAATGCAGTCGGAATTAAAGAAGGCGAAAACCTTACATACGGGCGAGAATGATGAAATGGACAATTTCGTCGCAAGCGAAGAGCCAATTCTAGACCTCTTATTCTCCAACCACCCAACTGAAACAACCATCTCCGCCCAAAGATTACCGCAGTTAGGATCTGAAGGCTCTTGCATCCCATGCTCTAACTCGAATGTGCCAACTGTACAAGTTGATGAGCCGTTAGAAAGTCCTGTCTCCCCTGTATTCCGCAGCGGCGAACTCTCCCAATCCAACAGCGAACCAATCAGTAATCCTTTGGCCTTGCTGGCAGATGCCTCCTCCGCCGCCCAAGCCTTGGAGCTGCACTCGATACCTGCCCATATTTCACCGGAAACGAATAAACCATCTTCTGTGGCGGACGAGTCCGCCAGCGAGTCAATCGGTCGTCAACTACTTCATCGGCCAGGTTACGTGTCACTTGGCTTAAAACTGGGCAGGGATACTCTCGAAGCAGGAATCGATACCCTGGTCGGTCCTTGCGAGTACCCATATCGTTACTCGAACTATTTCAAATCGTCCCCACAGGTGCCTCTACGCGATGTTGGCCCCGATGTTGACCCGGTGGACCTTGGTCTAGTGACCATGGATGAGGCCTGTTATCTGTTTCCAGTGTAAGCCAAGATATCAGCTGCTCTGACGATTTACATGCACTAATCAATTTAGATATTTCGTCCGCTTGCATCCAGTCAATGGAATCCTAGACCCGATGCTTCACACTCCGGATTTCGTGCGTTCACGATCGGCTCTTTTGTTCACCTGGATACTGGCCATAACTGCGCAATTCGATCATGGGTCAGCACCAGTCGCTAAACGATTACGCCTTCATGGCGAAAAGCTCTCAAAACACGTTCATACCTGTGGATATAAATCGGTTGAAATCGTTCAAGGCTACTATATCTCATTATTATCAGCCACTCCCGCAGAGTCACTGGTACACGAGCGTTCGTGGCTTTACACAATGTACGCCTTTGGTGTAGCAGCCGAGCTGGGTCTAGACCAAGATTCCCATGCCAAAGATGCGACCCCTCTGGACTCGATCAATGCTTCCTATTCTAGAACCCAGGACGCAGCTCCAATATCACTCCCGGAAAATGATTCGTCAGGTTTATTACTGGGGTATCCTTCGAAAGACTCGACCGACAATCAGCGCATGGCGCGAAACCGTGAGAGAACCTGGCTGCGGATTTTACTATGGGAACGGGCGAACAGCGCAGCCTGTGGTAGAATACACACTTTCCCGGAAACCGACTTGACACAAAGCATCAACAGTTGGTGGCTCCACGATCTGGCGGACCCCACAGACAAGCACACATGTTCGTTTATCACCCTGCGACGCATTTTAGCTTCACTACAAAACGAACTAAGAAATCAAGCTCGTTTAACACACGTTGATCCCCATTGGGTGCGAGAAATGGTTGATACAAGTCTAAGACCCTGGCGTGACCGTTGGCTATCACATCCAATGCCCAATTTAATCACATCGCCGTCTGAAAAGCTGTCTAACATTTTCCTTCATTATGTTTATCTCCACGGAAGGCTTTGGACCTTGTCATTTGCCCTTCACGGTTCCATATGTGGGGACCAAAATATGGATGCAATCCGAGCGGATTGCTTTGAGGCTGCAGTCAATTCTTGCGAGCTCGCCGTGCGCGATTTGCATAATATTGGGGAGCCGTTATATTGCATGTTGGCTCCGACTTGGGCTATGATAGCCTATGCCGCGGTGTTGGCTTTGAAGCTATTCCCTACCTTGTATGGGTCCCGGGCCGGAAATGACGTGGAGCTTCTTGCTCTACTTGGCCAAGTTGCCATTCAATTAGAGCGTGCAGGTACAACCCCGTCGCATCGATTTGGAATTGCTGCATTACTTGGACAGCACCTCATGATGATCCTAAGAGCTAGAACAGCGGGGCTGAAATACTCAAATCAACCTGGCCAGACTAGAACAGATGCGACCTACACCAGCATGGGTTTTGATGACGGAGCGAGACAATTTATGCCCCAGCAATCCCCCAATTTGAAGCCATACGAGGCTCTCATCTCCGATCACGATCCGTTCTTGACTACAGCTTCAATGTCTACTCAGGGGGATTTAACTGGTGAGGGATTTGCTGAATTCTTCCGGGAAATGTTCGGGCCTGGATTTGGAGATGTCTTTTGACAAATTTAGCCGAAAGGAAACTTGAGGGTAGCTTTTATTCATGAAATTCTAGCGTCTAATGACCACCATACGTCTCTTCCTTTCATACATTCTTTATTGCCCAGCTAAATTAGCATTGGTTTTACAAGAGCCTTTGTGAATTAGATGCGCTTTCGTGTGTTTTTCCTATTAGTATGAATCAATCGATATTGAGATCCTTTGGTTTGTTTTCTAATAAAAGCCGTACGAATTAATATATATGATCGGCTACCGTCCCCCGTCGGTGCATTAAAGAATGCACCGGTTTATGGAGGTGGCGTGAAGTGGCGTCAACAGCTCGGGTATTCGATCATCCCTTTGTTGTATTAATGGAACTAATAACCCCAAAGTGGGGGGATACAAGCTACCAAACCTGAAATTATGACAGTTTCTTGGCCTCCGTCTAAAGCCAATCCATTGGGTATCGCCACGTTGTCCCTTGGCAACTGGCGAGAGCATCGTTTAGAACCACGACTGAAAGCCGCGGCGAAATCAGGATATCAATGGATCGACCTGTTTGACGAGTGTTGGGCTGCATACCTGGAAGAACATGGACTGCCGGGAGACCAACTTTGGGAACCGACCGTAGAGAATCTGCAGGTTGCTCGAAAATTGGCTCGTGTTGTCAAATCCTTAGGAATGCGGGTTGCTTGCACTCAGCCTCTTCGGAAAATTGAGGGAATCAAAGATCCAGCTGAACGCCAGGCTGCCTTCGATCTAGTTGCCAAGTGAGATATATACCTACCTCGATGAAGAAATAGCGGTAACTCGGTCATGAAAGTCCATACTAACTTACTATCATAGACGATTTCCATTCATGCGCGCCTTTGATACTGATCTTGTTTTTATGTGTGCGAATATCCGCACAGACGAGGGAGTGACATCTGATCTCAAGACGGTAGCGAGGGACCTCGCGGAACTGGGCGACATAGCGGCTGCTTACGCAAAGGCTGATGGTGGGCGCATGTTAAAAATTGGGTACGAGGGCCTATCTTGGGCAACTCGAAATACATGGTCGGCCTCATGGGAAGCTGTGCGATTTGCCAATCGCCCTAACGTTGGACTGATCGTGGATGCCTTCAATATCCTCGCCGTCGAGTTTGCTGATCCGTACAATGTTGCTGGCCACGGGCGGATCTACCCAACCTTGGAGGAATCTCTGGATGTTCTTACCGGATCACTCACATCATTGGTGTCGACGGTACCGGGTGATCGGATATTTTTCTTCCAGTGCGGCGATGCGGAGTTGATGAACCCAACAACTTTCCTCCCTCCAACTGACCCAGAAACACCAGCACTGCTCCCATGGTCGCGGAGTCATCGGTTATATCCTCTTGAGAAGTCTAGAGGTGCGTATATGCCGGTTGAGCTTGTCGCGGCTGCTGTGCTTGCCACCGGGTACCAGGGCCCAGTCTCGCTTGAGGTGTTCAATGCATCACTGAACCAACCAGGACAAATGGTTCCGGCAGAACATGCTTCCAGGGGAATCAATGGTCTTCGCCTCTTGTATGAAACTGCAAAGTCCATTCCAGCATTTTGGCAAAGCCATGGTGAACGTAAGAATGCTATCGCACAAGTAGTGCGTCGGCTCCAGTCGGATGAACACAAGCATAAGCTATGAATAATATGTATATTTTGATCACTACCGAATCCGAAAGTAATCAATTATATCTATCTATGGATTGGACTTGAAAGCCCTCTTTTGCTCTAGCATCACTGTTACGTCCAATTGAGTGAAACTATATATATTTGGAATCAATAGATGAAGTCAGGAATATTTACGTCCAGTGGGAATCGCATCTTGTATGAAAAATTGAAGAATTGAAGAATTGATATCAATGCTACATTCCCACTGGAGCTCGGCGTCTTCCGCAAGGTCCCCCTTCATCTTATCTGCCCCGCATGCCCAGGTGATCACCTCATATTAATCAGCTTGACGTGGACATTAACCCATTCACCCCGCCATTTCCAAAACCGCAACTTTTCTTCAATCTCTCTATCTCTTCTTTAATAACCATATTTATCTCAATATGACTACACTCAAGTCCGGCGACTCGTTCCCTAGCGACGTGGTCTTCCAGTGTGTAAACCCCCGGCCCCCCCGCAAAGAATGACGCTGATCTCTCTCCAGGTACATTCCATGGAACGAGGAAAGTGGTGAGATTACCTCTTGCGGCATCCCCATCAACTACAATGCCTCACAGGAGTGGGCCAACAAGAAGGTCGTCTTGTTCTCCGTTCCCGGTAAGTTTGTGTTGATGCCACCCCCTAGCTAAAGACACAATACTAACATGTGAACCAAGGTGCATTCACCCCGACCTGTTCCGTCAACCACGTGCCAGGATATATCCAGAACCTTCCCAAGCTCCGCGAGAAGGGAGTTGACATTGTTGCCGTCCTTGCTTTCAATGATCCGTTCGTGATGAGTGCCTGGGGCAAGGCGAATGCAGTTCGCGGGGATGATATTGTGAGCACAACCCCATTTTACACGTTTCTATGGCTAGTATTGATTTGTATGGATAGCTTTTCCTCTCGGATCCCGATGCCAAGTTCTCCAAGAGCATTGGCTGGGCTGATGAGGCGTCGGGCCGTACAGGCCGTTATGCGATCGTTATCGATCACGGTAAGGTCAGCTATGCCCAAATCGAGACCGAGAGAGGTGTTGTCAAGGTATGTAATTTCCTCATTCGTCCTTCATTCCCGCTCCTTCTGGTGGCTAACTGCTCAATCTGTCTATAGAAATCCGGCGCTGATGCGGTTCTTGCTTCCCTTTAAAGTACACGAGATATAGAATACCCTCTTGAGCACTTCAAATTCAATTCCAAATGTCATTTAGATGCATGTTTCTTTGTGAAATACGGGTCTTCCTACGGAGGTACACAAGGTGCAGCTTCAATCACATCTACGGTCTGAGTCAGTGTACTCCGTTAAGAATGATTCCATAATACCTATCCAGAACTTGAATTGAAAATGAAGAGTGGGAGGTCTATTCAATCATCTAAGAAGATCCAAATCTAGCGAGAAACAATTGTGAAGAATCCAAAGGTAGATCTATATAATGCAAAGCTTTCAGGTGGTATCGTCAAATCAAATGCTGGGAAATGCAAGCCTGAAGGTTGCTAACCAATGGGGAGAATCAAATATGCGACAAAGCACGGTCGTGAAGATGCAACTCCAACCCAGCATTGACACAGTCTATATGCAAAGGCTCGGCAGCTTGATATATTTTGTCTTTCATCACAGCTTCAAGTACGTCGGGTCCGGAGCTGGCAACCTCACCATCGTCATCCGACGGGACGTTTTGGAACGCACCCTCGATATCGACACGCTTGAGGTTAGGGAAACGAGTCCGACGACTTTTTATCACGGGTTGTAATTGGGCAACCAACATTCCCAGATATCTCTCCTCACATCCTTCAATGTAAAGGGTCTCAAGCGACGATGGGAGACATTCCATGAGAGGTGTGGTCGGTTCGTTCTGGTATCGAATATCCAAAAGATTTGGCAGTCTCACGCGCACTTCTTTCAAGGCAGTGAAATCAACAAGGGAACCAAACCACTCGTCGTGGGATTGGTTCAACCCAGCAGCGGTGAACGGGTAGTGGCTGCCATAGTGGTCCAGCCACAGGGTTTGCAGGCTCCTTTTGCTATGGGTCAGAGAGCGATAGAAGGCGGATGGCTGGTAGCCATGCGAAAGAACATGCGAGTCCGAGTGCTGGTATTTGAATGACTTCAGGTCGGCGCATGAGCTAACCAACCTCTCCATGCCATGGTTCCCACTACTTGCACGCAAATCGATATCGGTGATCGAGGAGAATCCAAAGCGTGGCTTCTCATCATCCGTTGGTTCCTCAGAGAGTGGAGTGGCGGAGCTAGGGTCCACTACCGAGTTGGCTGTGATAGCACGAACAGATGGCAGTTGGAAAAATGGTAGGAGCAATGTTGATGATGGTTGAGTCTCAGCTCTAGCATCATCCAGGTTCTCGCTGTGATCGAGATCTTCCCGATGATGCAATGAGACCTCACGCAGGTGCCGGAAGGCTGGTTGGACGGAAAATGGCTGTTTGCAATCCACGGCCCTTTGCATGATCCGGTCCAAATATGGAGAGTTTGTCGTATAGGCCAGTGAAAGTTTCCTGAGCTGACTCAACAATGGGAGAATGAGCGCCACCCAGGCGTCAGCAATGCCTTGTTCGAGGCGCTGGGCCCATTGATCACTTTCCAGCGTTGAACATGATACATCATCCAGCCATGCCCTCAAAGATGTCGAAGTCTGAATTTGGTTGCGGTCGTCGTCCGATACGCTTTTCGCATGCCAGTCTGTTAGGTCTAGCTCCCGAACGGCCCGCGCCAGCGCAGGTCGTTTCAGTATGGCGTGCAGGAACGAATTTGCATCTTGCCAATGGTTGATAGACACCTTTCGATATACCAGTGGGAGGAAAAGATCGTGGAAGTGATGGGAGACAAAGATAAGGTTCCGTCGGTCTTCTTTTTGTTCCAGTTGCTCTCCTATCAAGAGAAATACGTCATTGGGCAGCGCCAGCTTCATGATAGCACATTCGAATAACAACAAATCAAGCCAAACAATGATAATAATGAAAGAGACCACAAAATCAGATCAAATGAAAGTAGTTAAGATCAAAAGATCAAATTTCGCAGATTTGGCCACTGGAAGATCAAACTTTGATCCGATCCAGCCAATGTTGGCGCCCCGGTGGATCTATACCCGGACACCCTGAGAGGCTGTCAATTGTTCGTTTCCACTTTGGAAAAATTTCAAAATTTCATCCTAAACCCGCGACAATTGCGTTTGTCTGGTTTACCGCTTTCTCGGATTCTAATTCCGATATTCATAATTATGGAAATGATTGTATCCAGTTATTTGCGGAATCTCCCGAACTTACATGTGGATAGGTGGGGGTGTTTAGGCCTGAGGGGCAGAGATTGACAGTTGAAGAGCCATTTAGGTGCATATGCAGTTATTGCGACGATACTCCGCGGTGAATATAGGGTCCGAGAGTCGTAGAGTCATGACGTTATCTGGTACAGATACTTATCCTTTACATCGCTTCAAAGCGATAAAAGTCCACTGAGAACAGCAAGGACGAGATTAAATGGATATCGAGTAGCATGAGAATACAAAAACCGACGATAACGAAGGTGGATCAGTTTGAGTGGGCTTGCGGGAGGTGATAGTGGAGCGAGAGAGCTGGAGATCGACCTGAGACATGGGACAACGTTGGACTTGGATGCACCTGCAAGAGCAAGACCAGTGCAAATTGTCGAAATCCTAGGGTGTCTCAGACTATACCATGTTAGCGACAAATTTGGCACGCAATTACTATCAACGCACGGTGCCCAGTGTACCTCACTAGCTTCGTTGATCAATGGACCATTTCTCGGAGATTTCAACGTTAATATCCGCTCCCGCAGATACCGCCAGTTTCATCGATGACCGTCCAACTTAGACACGTGGCTTCGATCAGTGTACTATGAGTCCATATAGGATTCGTAGTGGATATACCGCGCACCCGTACCCTTTTGCCAAATTCGCGCCAGCAAAGGGCTTTAGATTGCATCTACCATGGAATGGCCAATACATAGGTAGCAATTTTTTATTGGAACTTCACAATTTCGCCATACCCCAGTCTTTTGAGACTTAAAAGGCCTCACCCGTATAGCGAAACTAGCTGAACCTATCTCTTAACACAAATTAGTATTATTTAGTTTTAGCACTCCGGTAGGCTTAATAGTTAAACATATTACCCCCCGAGGTAAGGAGATCGTCTAAATCTTTATTAGTAACCCGATTCTTATATACTAGTTAAGGATATTACTTTAGGCCGTTACTCTCTTAATTTATTATTATACCCCCGGCCTACTATAAGTGGAGATAGCGTAATGATTATTCTAGGCTTATACTAATAATTAGGCCTTAACAAGTCCCGCATGCCTCTGTTACTACAAGGCTATATGACTCTAATAAATATGATATTCTTTTCACAGATATAGGAAATATAGCCCATTCTGGTTATAGGGAGAGATCAGAGTCCAGTATATCAAAATAGCGATTCATTTCACATAGCGATAAAACAAGTGCTTCCGCGGCAATTTTTCCTATCTTCATGACGTTTTGAGAAAATTCGCCTTGATAGCAGTCATAAAGCCAAGCACTCGCTCACGATTCGGCAAGCCGCTGTAAAGATACCATTCCCGATCAGAAACAAGACCCATCAAATCAAGCCGTAGGGCCTGCCAATCGATTGAATGGTTGGATTCCCGGAATGAGATCAACTCAATGAATATATCCTCTTTCAACCGCCTCTTCCAAAACCAATCAGGCAAAGTCCAGTGCCACGCAGAAAGCATATTCCGTGTGTTCTTCACATCCGCCGGTGTATAGTCGATCGGGCAAGTCCACTCGGCAATCATAATTGCGACTTCCAATGGTATTGGACTGCACCTGGACCGTATGCATTTATCCTTGGTCTTTGTTGCGCTGTTAATTGCCTTTTGGATTGCTTTTCGAACCTCAGGCACTATGAAAGGATTCTTGTAGATATCGCATCCATGCTCGAACCCCGGATGAACACCAATTGAGCCATGATGCTTCCATGATCTGAGCGAATAATCATAAATTCCCCATTCTTCATGGTCACGCCAGTATTTTCGGGCAGCACGAACGAATTTCTCGAATTTCTTTTCAACCAACGTTGTTGGAATAATGTGGTTGAGAAGAGCCCAGCAGTGGGCATGGACAACGAATCCGACATTTTGGCCTTTGAAACGATTCAGTTGTCTTTTGATGCTTGCTGCATAGAACTGAACGAAGGTACCACTATAGTATTGGGGATTTTTTGTTCTCCCACCGATTCGCGCTATGCCGCGGTCTTTTGGAATGAAGTAAGGATCAGTATAATGTTCTCCAGTTACAGTGATTCCACTCAGAAAGTACTTGGTATTAGGCCCTTTGATTACTGGCTCGGTTAGTATGAACTGGACCCAGAACGCTTTGATAAGACTCACTAGCTCGACACGTACACGACCACATGCTGGGATACTTCGCGAAATCTACCTCTTCGACCTCCTTTGATGGGACCATCACATGCTCCAGTTTGTCTTTCTTGTAATGTTTCCACTGATTCTCTCTGAACAAGACACCGGAACAGGTTGGATTCACCCTTTGGGAGTAAATCATACTGGAAATCTCCAACCCGCATAGAAGGCAATTTGGGGATGGATTGACACCCGAAACAGTGGCCATGGATAGTGTTTAGTTGATATAATCATAATCATGAATAATTATATCGAGTCGACAAAAATATCTATGCTACATATTCAAGCTAAAATGAAAATGATGTAACAATGAAGGCTTGACTTACGCGATGCTTTCATTTCGATTTAGTATATATAGTTTGCCTTTCGGAACAGGTGTCAGGTGAACATTCTATAATTTGAGACGATGTCTTAGTTTGATGGGACCTATCCTATTCAATATAGTGCTCAAGCATGCCGCACACGTTTGCTAAACACTGATAAGGTATGGCCATACAAAATTATGCGACAAGGAATTTGGAATCTTCTTATTTCCGTCTATAGTTCTTTTTAGTTATCTTCTCTGTTGTGCCTATAGTGTTTGCACCACTACTCCTACCCTAGTACTAGTTCCCTGTCAATGGATGATTATATCATCCGTATAGGAAGTCGAACTTTACCATATTTTATACCATATAAATGAGGGAAGGCTATGCCACACAGTCCTTACTTATTGTCACAAGAAACGATATTCCGCTAGGCCCAATGACTTCATTCAGTTTGCTAAAACTTCATATGGAGAAATTAAAATCGCTTATGCTCTGGGGTAGGATACAGTAATTGAGTGCATGCTGGAATAAAGACAAGGGGCACACAAATCTGGTTTCAAGGTAGATATCTTGGGTGGAATTTTCGATATCGAAAGGGATATGAAGTATGCGGCACGACTATACAAGCCTTACTATTGTGAATCAGATGTCCGTATACTTATCAAGCTTAACTCTTCTAAACATAATTCAAGTTTGATATGGGGGAAATAGTTAACATAGTGGATTTTTAGACCCGTCCTCTACGATAGGGAAACTCCTATGACCAAAGGCCGCAGCCAGTGCTCCACATAATATTCAGGGATTTAGGTAACGCAACAGGAGTCTCGGAGGCAGATATGGGCTTGCAAAGAAAGAAGTGGTGGGAGCCTAATCAATGGGCCATTGAGCGATTGGGATATGTTCAATTGATCCCGGAAGCAGCCTTATTGATCGATATAAATATATGCAATTGATCATGGTGGTAGCCTACTAAGTGAAGTGTAAGTTAAAATATTTAAAGGGCAACTAAACCAATTAACATGGAATTTTCCTTTCCTTTTTTCCTTAAGCACTGCCCTTATTATGCCGCAGGTCAGCCAAACTGGAACCAATCTACTTCATGTCAGTCACTAACCCTCCTTAGGTTTTTGAGGTCCATGCCATCAAACAGGAAATAAAGCGCATTGACCGGGCTGGTCCCGAATGCGTTGCCTATGGCGTATGGAATGCGATATTGTCCTGGCAGTTTCCCGTCGTTGATGGCTATATCACAAGACCGCAGGATAAGCACACGTTGCAAGCAGGAAGAAAAGGGTATTCTGATTTGCATACCTTTCACTATCGAGACCGCGAGGGAAAGGCCACTAAGTTCTTGATCACTCTATGCAAGAGGAAGGGCCTGGAAGGCAGGAAATCTGTTTGGGACGAAGGGGCTCGGCAGTTGAAAGAGTATCTCAGTGCAAACCCTAAGACCCGTTCTGTACACAGACGGACCCCTGTTTATGGTATTATTACCGTGGGGAAATTGATGCGGGTGTATAAGTACTCGGATGTGAGAAAGGATATTGTTGACTGGGCTCCGCGTGGTGTTGAAAAGGGAGTTGCCTTCGATATTTCAGATGAAGAGCATCAGCCTAAAATTGCGAAAATCCTTGATCATGTCAGGGACAACCATTGAGCCCTAGAGGTGTCATTGTGGCCGGATCCACCCCCATCTCTTTTCAGTGATGAAAGTACGTCAGTCTTGATCCCTAGACCTCGAAGGGATTACTCCATTCAGAAATTCAGCGTGAAAACACAGCACAGAAGATATATTCATCCCTCCAAAATAGAATATAGTCAGTACAATCGGGAGAGATAGGTGTCCAGCGTAGGGTCGAGACAACATCGGGAATTATATGGAAATTATAAGCTCAGAATACAACAAAGCGGGCTTTGTGGTCAATTCAAACTGGTGGCAACACCTGGGGCAGCGGTTGTAGCCGATGTGCCATGGACATCTATGAGCCACAATTGGAGAGCAGAAGTCACAACAACAATCTCCCAATTTTCTCCCATGGTACCAGTCAACCCAGCGCCCATGAAGGCGAATCGAAACCCTTTGGTCATGCTCCAAGAAGCGTTGTGTGCGATGAGAGCCACAATCTCTAACCCGTCGCTTGTATAACCCCGGTCGCGGTCCTTTCTGCTCCCGGCTACATTCTTCACCGGTCCTGTCAACCGCACCAACTTCCAGCCATATGAAAAACCGACAAGTTCTTTGATTTCATTGCCATGGCTCTTACGCCACTCAAATTTCTCCGGTGTTGTTCCTTTCGGACCCACGGATATTTCGAACATGTGGCTAGGTGAAAAATGCTTTAACGATCCGCCGGGAACGACCTGTTCCACGATGGAGTCTTGATGTTGAGACCCTGGACGAGGTGGGAGTGTGATTGCGACGGGTCTACTCCTTCCCCACCTGTCACCCTGAGCCGTTGCCATTACCGGGTGCCTGTTAGTTGGACCATCGTGTAACACGATCGTGGCTTTGTTATTGAAAACTGTCGCGGGGGTTGATACCGCGTATAGCTTTTCGTCCGCGGTCGGCCCAAGGTGGAATGTGGTTGTAAATTTCCATTGAAAGTATCCGTTCATGGCGGACGGAAATTTGGCCGTTGCTGATGTACTGGTAGATTCACGTGCAGTATAGGACGGTATCTCATATTGGGGGGCTTGAGCCGCAGACTGCGGGTCGTGCTCTGTGTAAGGTGGTGGTAAGCCGTCGAGTGGATCACTTGGGTTCGAAAGAGACGGTAAATCGGTCGCTGTGCCCATTACGTGAAATTCGCGGAGAGAAGGGGGGAAATGAAGATGAGAATTCGCGGGATGTTGTCCCCCCACATTTTGACCCCCAACGCCACAGGCGTCAGACTCTTCCCGATATTGTCCTAAGGGATCACTTTTCAAATCCGGCGTTATTTTTGCTAATCGTGAAATTTATATTCTCCATGTATTAGCGACGGGGTTAGGGAGAGTACCAGAAAAGAGTTTCGTTTTACAGCGACTCGATGCTACCTGACCGGTAGCTTCAACTCGATGTTTTCCTGCATCCATGGATATGGCCATTATGTGCTTGTCAAGTATTTTACTTTGATTGGAAACCTCGAAAGTTCAATGTTGCGTTCGTTAGGTGAAGACCATTCACTATTTCTCTTGAACAACCATGTCTTCTAGAGACAAAATGTGTAAAAAAAATCCTTTGTAGCGGGGATTTGGACTCAATGGAGCTTCCATGTACACCTGACATATTTACCTGGAAGCATTGACCCAGAAGTATCATGTGCAGGCATTTTGCGGGGAAGTCTTGTACAAATTTTACAATAATATATCCGATATTGGGACCATGACACCGCTGGTTAGATGTCGTATTTGACCCCAGAGCCAAAGGATGTCTTATGATTCATTCCTTCAAAATTGATCTACACAGGAAATATCCGACCATGAAGTAAGCAAGGGCTGGTTCCCAAGGTTACATCCAACGTCCAGGATACGATCAAATAATTGGTTTCATGGATATTGTAACCAGTCAGTTGTGAAGTTATGGATCAACCTATGAGTGCACGGAGGACATGAGACACAAATAAAACTCGATTTATGGAAGACCCACGAGAATTTACGAGTTTCGGTAACCTCAACGCCGAAAGCCGAAAGCTACGAGGAGGGTAGACCTATAGGTAATGACCAAGGTTAGTACAACTATCTAAGCCCGTGCATAATGGACTCACTTTTGTCTGTGCGTCTATACTCCGTATTGAGCCACCAGCTATCACAGGCTTACCTCCGCGGTTTAGTCTATTCGGAGTATTGCTTGGCGGCTGTCACAATTCGTTCCGGAGTATCTATTCCCAGTGGCTATAGCGCACAACACCGGTCTTACTAGACAAGGAACCATAACCCTCACATAAGATAAATGCACTGCTGTTAGTGTGATCGTCAAAGTGCAGCCTTGCAAAGCTTGTGAAGTCTAAAGAGCCGTAAAGCATCGATCACACTGGGTTAGTTCTGATCTCGTTAATCCGTACTCTCTCAATAGAGGATTGCTAGTGCGAGTGGCAAGGTCTTCCAGGACAAAAGAAGCAATGGTAAAGATGGAACTAGAGGAGTGCCATAGGCATAGTGGCGTCAATTATTTGCGAGGCTTGGGGCACGGCCCCAGATGAAGCTAGCAAATTTCAGGGGAAGACTCAAGCGGTTGGTTAAATACATTTTGTCGGGCCGGTTGTTCACAATCTGGACTGCATGGATTCTCAGCCTTGGAGCAACGCTGAAAGTTGCAAATATGGTGGATCACATTTCAGTACCAGCTAGTAAGCGAGTCGGAATCAGTTGTAAGGGGCACAGGGCGGGAAATGGTAACATGAAGCATACACCTCGGGCCGTTGATTTTATTTGATCTGTTCGACTCGGCAGGGAAATTACCCTAGCCATATTTTGAGACCAGGGATGCCTGGTATCGCGGTGTGTTGTTAATCTGGTAAGAGGGGGAGGCAGGTGAAATTAATTCATTTCATTGTTCCCGATAGCTCCTACAAGGGGTTCCTCCTACGTTGTTGATGGCGGTGGTAGGATGAAGAAATCAAGTTTTAAACGGCCTTATTTTGGTGGTCAGCAATTGACGTGAGCAAACAACCCCTTTGTTTCTTACGTTTACTCTGAGAGCGAAATTTTGGTGTGGCATGTTTGAACCTGGTAAGTGTAGCCTTGATGGCCCACCTGGCGCCTTAATTTCCGGCCTTCACAAGGTGTGTACTCAATCATCCAGCCCCAACCGCAATATAGCGCTTTACAGGTATGCCAAGATATAGCTATAGGGCCACCTAGGGTTTGGCATGGGGGTTTGACTCGACAAAACCCCTAGGTAGAAATGACTCAGGGGTGGTACACCAGTCAGTTAGTATTGGAACTTACTTCCAGAGTGTCGTGTGCTAGTCAGGTTGTACCATGGACATGAGTGTTTCTTGGTCGGACAGCCAGGCCCCGAAGGCGTTGTCTCATGAATTTGCCGCGTTACCGAATCATAACGGGAGAGGCGTGTTGCCAAGAAGAACTGACCGCCATCCGTCTCGCGATGGCGTCCACGGGTCCTAAGTAATTCAAGCCTCTTGTGAGCCACGATTACGACTTCGAAATTAATACAGAGCAGCCGTCGTCCCTCATTATGATGATGCTTGGTTATTGGTCTTGGTGTAAAGTTAGTTTGTATTTTACCTTTTTCTCTGTTTCGTCGACAAAGGAGGGGGGAACCAGCCATAAACCTCCCTTCCCCCAAGACCCTTGAACAAAATAGGCAAATGTCCGACATGCGATGATACCATGTGGCTTGAGGCGACGCATGGAGTTACATACACTAGGGGGCTGGCTGTGTATCTGACCACAAAACTAATTTGATATTCAGCTGGTGATTGGTGACTTGATAGCTTCCAAGGTTCCAAGGTTGGCTTTGACAGTGTCATATGGAAATGGAAAATCCAGATTCTCTTAGTATCTACTATAAAGTTTTGCTGGGTTGTCCGGACGGAGTCTCCGTACGGAGTACTAGTTTATACATCCGTTTATAGTAGCGATGGACCTATAATGCAGGTATTCCGGGGAACCCCAGATACGCATCTCCCCCGCATCTCCACACCTCCGCGTGTTTTCCTTTATGGTTTTTGGGTTTACGCCTGGGCGTTTTGTTAGTTTACTGTTTTACTGTTTTAATGGTTTTGTATTTTCTTTCGGCTTTCTATCTTTAAAATCCCACCCCCTTGCTCCTCGTTTCGTTCTTTCTTCTTTCTTTCTTTCTTCCTCCATCTTTGACCTGATTCCTCTGTGGAACTTCATCATGGGGTACAAGATAACTAACATATATTCCATCACCACGGTGGCCGTCATTGGCGGCGCACTATTCGGTTTTGATATCGCTTCTATGTCCGCCATGTAAGACTTCTCGTCCCTTGACGAGGTCAAGGTGAGGGATGATGATCGCTGACTATCTCTCGCAGTCTTGGCACACAACAGTACAAGTGTTTCTTCAACCAAAATGGCACCAACGACGTGGGGCTATGTGGTGGCCCTACCTCTGCCAACCAGGGAGGTATCTCAGCAGCCATGCCTGGTGGTTCCTGGGTTGGTGCTCTAGCTTCCGGTTTCGTGACTGACTATCTGGGTCGCCGTGGGGCCATTCAGTCTGGCTCGGTGATCTGGTGCATTGGTAGCGCCATTGTGTGTTCATCTTTTGGAATAGCCCAGCTTGTCGTTGGCCGCTTCATCAACGGTGTTTCCGTTGGTATCCTCAGCGCCCAAGTCCCCGTCTATGTCGCCGAGTTAGCCCAGCCCAGTAAGCGTGGCCAGGTCGTGGGGGCACAACAGTGGGCGATTACATGGGGTATCTTGATCATGTTCTACGTCTCGTATGGTTGTAGTTTCATCAAAGGTCCCGCTGCGTGGCGCACTCCATGGGGTTTGCAGATGGTTCCCGCCGCGCTGCTTTTTGGATTCGTCTTCTTGTTGCCGGAGAGTCCTCGTTGGCTGGCCAAGAAGGATCGCTGGGACGAGGCTCACGAGGTTTTGGCTTCGGTTCACGCCAAAGGTGACCGAAATGCGCCCTTCGTGCAGTCAGAGCTACAAGAAATCCGTGAAATGGTCGAGTTTGAGCGCCAAAACAAAGATGCCTCATACCTCGACCTTTTCAAGGGTCCTATGCTCTACCGAACCCACCTCGGTATGTTCACTCAGATTTGGTCGCAGCTCACTGGTATGAATGTCATGATGCTTTATATTACATACGTCTTTGGTATGGCCGGGCTCACTGGAAATTCGAACCTTGTCGCATCCTCGATTCAGTACGTCATCAACGTGGTGGTGACTATTCTAGCTTTGCTCTTCATTGATCGTTGGGGCCGTCGAACTCCACTTTTGGTTGGTTCTACCCTCATGATGGTGTTCATGTTTGCCAACGCTGGAATCATGGCATCGTACGGCAAGCCAGCTCCACCGGGTGGTCTTCACCATACACCCGAACAGTCGTGGGATCTCTCCGACGCCCCCCAGGCCGCCAAGGGAGTGATCGCTTGCACGTATCTTTTCGTCGCCAGTTACGCCCCAACTTGGGGTCCTGTCAGCTGGATCTACCCACCTGAGCTCTACCCCCTTCGCCTGCGTGGCAAGGCTGTTGCACTCTCAACATCCTCTAACTGGATTTTCAACTTTGCCCTATCATACTTTGTCCCTCCCGCTTTTGAAAACATCAAATGGAAGGTTTATATTGTCTTTGGAGTGTTTTGCTTCTCAATGACGATTCATGTTTTCTTTGCGTTCCCCGAAACTGCTGGCAAAACTCTGGAGGAGGTCGAAACCATGTTTACCACCCCTGGTCTTAAGCCCTGGAAGACCACTGTGCAGTACCATCATGTTCGCAGGCTTGAGCAGGGAGAGATTCGGTCAGACAAGATCACCGATCTTCACGCAGAGGAAGGAACCGCCCAACCTCCCAAGTCCAGTGAGAAAGAGACCACAGTTTCACAGGTTGAATAGATACTCGGGGCCTCTATGACACGGCAAAGCTGGAACCAGAGCCAGTACGTTGCCACCCGCCACATGCGCCTTTTTCATTGCCTATATGGACCTACGCTTTACCCATAGGATGGGTTGCTTTTTATCTCTCCGAGTTTTGGGGCTATTACCCCCTCGATTTCTTAATCACGACTTAACTGCGAAATACCAACGGGATCCCAATCCCTCTTGCTTTTGGTTGTTCTCAAATTGTAATTTGTATATATCAGATGGATTAATCATGGATTAATCCTAGTCTCAATACCATATTCTCCAACCATTGTAAATCCTCTTCACTAGCGGCTTCTTGTTTTTGATTTCGTTCAGTTTGTACTATTTCCCTGCATCAAGAGTTTTGATCGCAGGTTGCTGGTATGTCACTAGGTCAAAAAGGAAGGCGATGAGGCTGTATGTAATTTCTACAGATTGTTCTTTGCACCACCCCTGTCTAACGGATATCCAACATCAGGTAATATCAAAGCCACGTCTTATTTTTTATGATGCAAATTTACCATAAATTCATAATGACACGTGACTTGTAAAAAAAATGTAAGGGGCGAGCTGACCATGAGCTGTTAGAAGCACCCAAGCCTGCTGAGGACAGCATTTACTCATTATCCAAACCAGGGCAATGCTCGCTGGTTTTCGCAGTTATTTCCTTGTAAGGGCCTGGGAGGGTCCAGATGATGTCGAAACTATATAAATGTTAGAAAAGATCGAGCGAAAACTATGACACGAGGGTTGAGGACTAACCTATCGTCCGGATAAGAAGGTGCATGCTTGACTCCCAGTGCTTCCGCAATATCGGTCAATGCATCGTGCTCCCAGCAAATCAGTATATTGGCCAATCCCTTTCCATCGTATCCAGCAACCACATCCTTGACACAATCTGGGTCATCTCGATCGCAAGACGTATCAACAGTGAGGCCGAGATCTTTAGCCAGCGGCTCAACGGTATCATAGGGACGAGCGCGTTTGCCATCTATGCCGTTCACGTTAGCCTCGGTCTAGTCTATGATACTGCGCACCGAAGCCGCACAGGGACATGGTGTGATCATACTGCTCTTGGGCGTTTGTGCCATAATGTGGGTGATGTTGTACTTAGAATTCTTGCCGAAAACTTCGCGAAGGCATTGTGCACGTTCGAGCCCTTGTGCATTTAGTCCATTTCCTCCACCACTGGGCTTCTCTCCATGTCGAATGAGGTAGACTGTGGGGTCGCGTGCTGCAACAAGAGAAGCAATGGCCAGTATACCGTAAGGTAAAAACCCGAGCATGATGCCGAAATTGGAAATGGTAGAAAGAGGGATATTTACCTCACAGTAACCTTGAGAGCAACAAACTTATATATGAGACAGTCTAATCTCAGGCATAATAATAGAACTTAGCCAACCATTTTCGTGATCGATAACCCATGAAACGTTCTTGGTATGCGATTGGCTGATGGTGGGGACTAGGCCTTATGGGGGAAATGAGCCTGCCTGGCCCCAGATGTGGGCCAATACTCGGACAGTCAGAGTAGCATCGAACTGATGCTTCACTGACTGCAAGTGGAAACTCCTATTTTCCGTTGTATATTGCGTCTTGCGTCTTGCATTCATTCAAGGAAACGATAAGCAACAACATCATACCGAAATGGACATCGCAGTCCGCCCGCGCTTCCCGCCTCCCCCGGTTTCCTCTGAAAGCTGCAAGCATTCCAAACTAAGGAAATGGTTGAATATACATCTAGCATATCCGTTGACATCCAGTTCTGGTATTTTGTCTATTTGAGCACGTGAATAGAGGGGTTTCTAAAGAGTTTCATGTTCTTCTCACTGATTGTACTTTTGGTCCACACGTAGAGAACCTGCCACGCAAAAAAGCTTTACAAAACACATAAGTCGAAGAGACATGGCAAGGTCCGAGGATTAGATATATGTGCTCTCCTGCTAATTTGACAGTGGGTCTCACATATATAGAAACACTGTATTGTGGCAGACAAGAGTACGTAGATCCGGCAGTGACGCTTGGCAGGTACCACCAACACAGGATTGGCCGGCAGAGTTAAGTCAGTGCAGCACTTAGATTGTGGAGAGAAATAATGAGCGATATGATAACGATGTACTATGGAATTTCGAGCTGAATGGAATAATAACAAATATACTAAAAGTTTTGCTGAAGATGATCTGGAAAAGGTTGTAGTGTACTCGAAACAGAGAAGAAGAATAAATCGGAACCGGAATCAGCGAAGAAAGCGTCGACTCAAAAGGGCTATATACTATGTAGCAATATGTACCGGATTTTTAGGCCGCGGATACGAATTCCCCGATTGGGATGCCGCCGCTTTATGGAGGCGCTTGAGATCTTGCTCACTGCCTCAAAGCACAGGGGAATTATTGAGTGACCCCCTGGGAATTTAATTCTACCTAGCAAGCAGCCAGTTGATAGTTACTTAACTGGTGATGGTCAGGGTATGCTTAACAACATCAGAATTTGGTGAGTACTCCCGAGGTCAGATCGTGCTTAGTGAACGCTTTGGCTGAAGTCATGCTCACTAAGTTCGGCATTGCCCCAGTCTCTATATCCATGAAATTTGCCATATGCAGAACGTTTTCTCGTGGCGACGTAGCTGAAGGTCTTCCAGTCTGCCTTCAACTGCCCGATTCAGCCTTTTAAACCCTTGACAAAAGGTACGATTCCAAATTGAAAGTCCGAACAGATTTTTATGCTAAGATTAACGTTACCGCCGTATGATAAGATGTATCTCTATCCTCATTAGTGGAGGCCATGCGATCAAGGGACATCATAATTATATCATAACGGCGAACAAGTCAAACGATGAGCAGTGACGGAGAAATGAATATGTGGCAACCCGCTGATGATTGAAACATTTAAGTAGATGTATTATCTGTCGAAGATAGACTTAGACTTCATTAAACGATCACTCACCAAAAACAATCACATAGACCAATATGCCGACCGAAGAAAGACTCAACGAGATGCGTGGCTACAAGGCGTAAATATTACATTCTGGTCCATAAAAGCTCGTGAGCGTATCTAATGCCTAATTATATCTTTTACAGCGCGCTGAGAAACCCGAAAGTTGGACAAGAGGCGAAGCAAAATGCACAAGCCATGCTTAATGAGCTTGGCGGTGATCAGCCTCGCGAGGAACTACATAAGGCCAGAGGTGATCAAAACAAAGACCCGGTGAGGGTCTCGGCTGGACTTAAAGCGTGAGTATGACCTTAACGGAAACTCTTGGATATTTACTGATTGGCCCATGTAGCGCGCAGCATAATCCTATCGTGACAGAGGGCGGGAAGCAGAGAGCTGCTAAGAAGATGGAGCAGAGAGGTGCTCCGGAGGAGTAGACACCTGTGTGGTTACTTGCTGTAACTACACTTCCATGATAGTATATGGGCGCGGCACTTGTTGATATCTCCGAACCCATAGTATCAGACCCCCAGTCTGACTTTTCGGTGTCTCATAGTTCAACAGCTTCCGATACATAACTATAATGCTCCATGATCTCATATGAACCCATAGATTCGCTATAAGTCTAGGAACTCGCCATTTACATATCACAGGGGTCACATCAAGCCCGGTACGACCAGCCAATAAATGAATTCGCTACGAAAGTGTATAGCGGCTCGCAGACGGCTTGTGTGTTGTAAGTTTTTGCGGGCCCGTGGGCTTAGTTGGTCATTAAAAAGCGGCTAGGGGTGAGCACCAAAACGGAAAGGTAAAGCCATGTCATGCAATTTGGGTGCATTAACTGTCTAGGATGTCCAGTAGAACTTCGATCTTGCCACACTGGGCAACCCGTGGCTGCAATATATACCTCTCCCTTCCTACGTACGATAGACGAGGCTCACTCAAAGTTTAGCCGTCGCTGCCCCTAATCCATCTGCCGCTCTTCGTAGAGACTTCCAGTACTTGTCCTTTCGCTGGAGAATCTCGAATCCTTGTTCTGCCCATCGATCTTCCCAAGGAGGGAGTGAGTAACCATCCGTTCCAGGTGCTGGGGGTCCGGCCAAATCCGTTAAGAAACCGAAATATTCCTTAAAGTCAGGCTTGATTTCGTGAAACAGAGCTGTATGGCCTTTGTATTGAAGTCTTTGGACCTCCCAAAGATCTTGCTCTTGTGGTGTTGGTAAGAGCGCTGCATTCCTTCCGGCGAAATATCGGGCAACGGCAACGGCCTGATATTCATAAACCCGGAAGCTGATCGCAGCGCGGACCTGGCCGACCAGAGCCAAAGATGGATCCCCAATTTTGAAAATGTGCTGGTAAAACCCTGCTACCCGGTTGTTGGGGGTCACGGGGTTTGGGACAATGAATGGATAGGACAGTTTGTACCCAGTGGCGAAAATGATCTTGTCCACACCCTCCAAAAGGCTGTTGTCGGAAAAGACAACGTTTATCCCTTTCTCTGTTGCTTGGATCTCTTTGATTGTTGGCCTAGCATTGACATTAGGTAGATCCCATGCGGATTGCAGTGCCTCGTTCTTCCCTCTTTGGGATAGCTCGAGGGGGCCTTTCACAATGGCATGTAAATCTGCCACAAGATCTGCCGATGAGACACTGCCTCCAACGACTACCACACGCTTGTCCACATAATCGTCTGCCTTTCGGAATGCCTTCGAATGCTCAAATGCAGTAGGATAGCGCGCGAAGGCAGCATCTAGCCCTGGAACAAAAGGAACAAAAGGAACACTGTAATGCCCCGATGCAACGATCACAGCATCGAATTGTTCTTCCCACCAATAGTCCTTGGAAGTGTTACCATCCCCGTGGCCGGACTGACGAAGTACTAAGGTCCATTTTCCGTCCCGCTTTTCAACTTTTTCCACTGTTGTATTGAGCGAGGCAAGATGAAGATAGTCTTGGAATATGTCTTCCAAGTATTTTCTCACCACCCGAAATGGCCGGGTTGGGTTGGACTGCCCTAAGTGTCTGGTTGACGATGCCGAATTTATCTCAGGAAAGGGAGTGTGCGTGAAAGCCATGGCTTTGGCGCCGACATTACTGTCAAGACCATCGTAAATGCCTGTGCGAGACGTTACGTCTTCAGGGGAAGGAGATTTGAGCAGCGGAAGACGACTTGGGATTTCGTTGTCTTGTTCGCTGGAGGAGTCCTGGGATGGAAACAGATCAGGAACCTCATCGTATTGCCAGATTCCCCCAATGTGGCCCCGTCGCTCGAATAGACGTATCGTCTGGAAAATCTTCTCTTCTTGCAAGGCTTTGACGGCAGAAATGCCAGACGGACCAGCACCGATCACAGCAACGCTTTGATACCGGGGTGCCATGACAAGCAGTCGTCTCGTGGGTGGTTTTGGAAAGTGAAGAATATGTTCAAAAAAATATCTTGCCGTCTGAGAAATATCATCCATAGGATGCGAGCCTCTTTTAAATCGGGGCTGTATTCTTATCAATGAACGAGATAGTATACAAAAGTAAGCGATGATGTCAAAATACTCCACCTTGTCGGAATTTCAGCTAAGTACGTGATGGGTCAATATTGCTTAACACCAGCTGGGAGGGGGAATTATCATTGGGAATAACCTGCAAGATGTATTTAGGCTGGCATTGACGCAATTTGAGGTTGAGATGGTTATATTTTCGATCCAATTAACATCTGGCATCCTGGTGATATGGGTATCTTTTGGTGTATATAAATTCAACGTTGCTGGACGAAATCTCCACCAAGGTACGGAGTAGATTGGCAAACAACAGTGGGGCTGCATTGCGAATCTGTAGGGGAAGTTGCATCGAATTTGAGACTTCATGGTATAAGAGATGTTTCAAGGTTCATTTGACAGCACACTCCCATTCCAGTTCACTTGGTTCTTTCCAATAGTTTGTGTCACTTAGTGTAAAGCCAAGTTTTTGCAACAGATTTCCACTTCTGCTGTTATCTCTCTCTGTCTCGGCAATGAATCTTTTGACCCCTCTTTCATCCACAGACCACCGCATAATGGCCTTCGACGCTTCCTGCGCAATTCCTTGTCCCCAGAATTTTGGCGAGACACCGTACCGCAGCTCAATCATTTCGACCCATGATGGCAGCGCATGATCTCCAGGCTCTCGTGGCGGCATCGAAGTTGTCGTCGCATCACGGAGGCCTGCATAGCCCACCCACTCAGAGGCAGCGATATGGATATTATTCAGTCCCGCAACCCGAACGTAGTCATCGCCTTTGAGTGTGACGAAACTATCATTTTGTGTGGGGTGATTATCTGGCTCGAATGTGGATGGTCCGCGCAACCCCACAGCAAAATCACCCAAACCGCGCCTTTGCCAACAACGTTCAATATCACGTGTCTGAATGCCATCGCGCGTCTCCTCATCGCTCCATACCCTGGCTGGAAAGTGATGCCCGAAACCCATTTGGCAGAAGTCCACATTTGCATGCAAGTCGGAATAAAGCGCCCGGTATGATTTGAAGGAGACTGCTGTTGGGGTGGGAACAATAATCAATCGAGGTGTGAGAATAGCGAATTGTTCAACAGACTCTCCGTTATTCGAACCCATTTTGCAAATGATCGGACTCCAAAGGTAAATTGAATAAAGTAACAGGATCTGGACTGTATGCTTGGCGGAAAGGAAAAAGAAAAGCAAGGGTTCCATACAGGTCACGTGTATTGGTTTGATATTCCCCGTCGTGTGATTCTCTCCGATGCGTTGACTGCTAGGAAGCTAGGAATGGTTGGATTCCAGATGCCAAAAAAAACAAAGTCCCTAATCCTGTGTTATTCCTCGCAACGAGACTAAGACACAGCCGATAGTTAGCAGTGTCTTTTTTTCCTGAATAAGAACCGATCACCAAATAACCGCATCTTTAAATCTACTCTTGAATCCAGTCAACTTCGGCTATAGTTGACTATAACATAGTGGCTTGATTACAAACTCTAGCCTAATAAGGTACCTTAGTAAGACGGGATGGTAGTTTGGAAACATTGGTCGATTTTAGGTGCCAGCTTTCTCGCGTTATGCAGTGAGTGATATTCGCCATCTAAGATGGCGACCAAGATGGCCCATCTTGGTCCGTACAACATGAGTGTGGGCATGTCAAAACTATAACACTAATCTCGACGACAGGCTTGGCCCATAGGTTCCGATATAAAGCCATCAGTCAGATACTGATAGAGGAAAGGCGGACTTGAATTATGTCTAGTGGCGGCATTTATGCCCAGCCTTCGCCTTATAACTCACCTAACTGGTAGATTTTCAGGCTTCATACGGAGTACTTGGAGTACTTATTATAGTAATACTTCTCTTCGGTGTTTTTCCAATGTAGTCAGCATCATTACCACGAGCGAATTACCACGGTGAGACATTGTCCTACATCTTCAATCCTTGCTCCTGCGAAGGGGTCCAATATCCCTTTCTCTCAGGCTCCACCTAGCCAACTTGATATAACCTAGACATTCCATTAATGTCCAGAGTAACAATTTGATAGGTAGTCATGACGGAAGGTCGTCTAACCCGCTCAGAATCGATTGAGCAAGCAACCTCTCTCCCCCCGGTAATGTGGAAAAGTCACAAAGCGCCATAATTGAAATTGATATTAATGCACAAAATGACAGGTTCCCTCTTCCCACGGAGGACGAGAGTCAGACGTTGCGCCGAGTCGCAGGGACTGTGCCTCTTATCTCCTTCTCACTCTGTCTGGTCGAGTTCGCCGAACGTGCATCCTACTATGGAGCCAATACAGTATTTTCTAACTTTATACAATTTCCGCTTCCTGAAGGTACGTGATTACGTTTTGAATATGTTGTTTGCTCGCCGTTGACCACCCGATTTTAGGTGGCACTGGAGTCGGCGCTACCCCACGGGGAACCCAAGCCACTGCGGGGGCTTTGGGCATGGGGCTTCAAGCAAGCTCTGCATTGACCTTGTTGTTTGTCTTCTTGTCATATGTGATTCCAATATTCGGTGGATGGTGGGCAGATGTCCATGTAGGCCGGTACACGGCGATCATGGTAGGTGTGGTCATCTGTGGCGTCGCCCATATCATCCAAATCATCGGTGCTATTCCCTCTGTTCTTCAGAAGGGCTCATCTAATGCTGCTCCCCCTTTCATCCTTGGCCTGCTGATATTGGCTATTGGCGCTGGGATCTTCAAACCAATGTTTCCCCTATGGTTCTAGACCAAGTTCGCCAGACGAAAGCCTACACTAAACAAACTTAAGTCCGGTGAAAAGGTCATCGTCGATCCAGATGCCACGCGCACAAGAATTATGTTGATTTTTTACGGCTTTCTAAACGTCGGTGCTCTCTTCATGCTTGCTACTACATATGCTGAGAAGTATGTTGGGTTCTGGCTGTCGTTTCTGTTGACTGGAATCATTTACTTGTTACTCCCGATTCTACTTTTAACAGTTCGCAATAGAATACACAAGGAGCTACCTAGCGGGGGACATGAGCTCGCACAAGCGTTCAAGATCACAACGATCGCGCTCAAGCAAAACAAATTTCGAGTATGGAGTACGAAGTTCTGGGATGCAGCAAACCCCGATACCCTGCGTAGTAAGGGAATCACAGTGGACTGGACAAGGGATGCGGTGAATGATATTGCAAGGACTCTCGGTAAGTTTACCAAGCCATACTATGCTTGTTTGCACTTTTTGATTTTGCACACGCCTCTATTGCAGTACTGCGGTGTTCGATCTTTCCACTTCTGATACCGTCCCTGACCCCATTTTTAAAAATAGGCGCGTGCGATGTGTTTTTGTTTTTCCCCGTCTGGAACCTCAATGTTGGTGGTATTGGCTCAGTTGGAACGAACCAAGGCGCGGCCATGATCACAAACGGGGTCCCCAATGATGTTCTGAGCAACTTCAGCCCACTGACGATCATTGTTGCGATTCCGCTCTTGACCTTCGTGATTTACCCGAGTTTTGACCGTTATAGAATTCACATGGAACCTATCACCCGTCTCACGTTGGGGTTTTTCTTGGCGATGGTTTCCAGCATTGTAGGGACTATAGTGCAATGGAGAGTATACGAGCTATCGCCATGCGGATATTACGCATCAACGTGCGACACGGTTGCTCCTATCAGTATTTGGTGGCAGGCTCCAACTATTGCTCTTGGGGCATTAAGCGAGTGTTTTTGTAATGTTACCGCATACGAACTGGCATATGCACGATCACCTCCAAGTATGAAAGGCTTGGTTGTGACAGTCTTCCTGTTTATAAAGCTTCTCTCGAGTGCATTTGGTGAATCTTGATTCCAGTCACGAAAGACCCCTTTTTGTTATGGATTTAGGGGGCGCCGGTAGTTGCCCTAGCTCTGCAAACAATCATTTTGTGGGTGAGGTTCAGAAGGCTCAACAATACCATGCATGGAACAGATGATCCCCATCGCTCTGAGGATGGGATGAAAAGCAATGGAAAGATGCCGATAGGAAATACGGCGAATATTTGACCTTTGGGACTTAATATCTCATGGGTTTGTCGTGATGTGAACAATTTCAGATTTTGAAGCTCTTGCTGTCTCGTCCCCAGATGAGATGGTTCCTCCCTCGAGATACCTCTCTTAAGTCTCCATGGGTAGCGGGTCATATCATATCATTATTTCCCTCACACTCTCTAATCACTATAAATGCGTACAATGGTGTGTTCCCAACCTTCAGCCCCCATTGTCAAAACATAGTCAGTCGGTTCCTAGGGCGTAGCTTTCCATGTCCTGGACTAGGATTAGATAGTGGATTAACTATTACTACACGTCTTCTGAGTAAGCGAAATATGACTTAAAGATAACACAAATACACACATGTGATCGCTAAATGAATGTAGGCAGTCCAGGCAGTTTTACATCAGGGATCATGTGGAATGTGACGAGGAAATCCGCGCTCAACTGGGATCGTACAGCGAATAGAATGACACTAAACTAAGTTTCATGCATTTAACATGTGTTGAAACAGCTGCTGTAACGTATCATTCTCAAGTAGGATATGAGATTACTTCGAGCACCAATATGGCACACTAAACACGCAATCAGCAGTGGAATGCAAGTTTAAACAAGGTAAAAGATAAGGATTTAGAACTGCAAAATATAATTCTATATCGGGCGAACGCACATGTAATTCGGGTTGTTGCGTCAGGTGGGATGCTGATATTATTCAACCACATGCAAATATCGGAGCGTCTTCATGTGACCCCGAGTATTTCCCGAAGAAATTAAGGCGGTGTTTTAATGCCATCACGTGCATCCGTGCATCGGTCTCCCTCCCGAGTTGTTGAAAACTTAACTTTAAATAAGGTACGGAGGATGGAGTATTGAAAGAAGCGACTTAAACCCCAGCGATTGCCTGCCCTCGGGGCTCATACGCAATATGGACATTCTATAATTATCTCGTCCGGGTTTTACATATCAGAGCTGCGCAATACGAATCATTCAATTAAAAATATCGAGAGAAAAAAAACCAATTAGGCGAAATGACACGTTGCTTTTGATAGCTTTCCGATTGGGCAAATGTTAGGAATGAGAGGTCATGGCGAATCGTGATGATTGAATATTACACTTCATTCAAGCCAAGATCAGTATCAATCAGAGAACGCGTATGGAGTATATTACGGCCACGTAGGTACGAAGTCCGGAGTTGTGCAACGTTATCCGAAAATAAGCTTAAAATAGAGTCCAAAGCAATTCCTCCAATGGCCAAAATTGCTGGTCATCACCCCCTGGTAAACAATGGAGCACATTTGCTGAAAGATCCTGGGTTATCTTGATTTATTATTTTCAGGCAAAGTCGTGTCTTACGATCAAAAAGCGCTTACTCCGAATGGGGTACGTTTTTCACAATTGAGGGCAGTGCTCTTGCCCCTGCCCCTGACAGAGCCAGTAGGACAACGGGATAACCGCCAAGCCGTTTATTAACTTTTTCCTCAACCTTTGCTTCTTAGTGGATCCTTAGATTCTCCCGAGGTCGAAAAGGGGGTGGTGTACGAGACTTCCCGCGGTGTGGATAGCCTTCGAAGGCAAACACCGAAATATCCAGCTAGTGCCCTAATAGCTTCCATAGATTTCGCCGTAGAATGTAGTAGTATCATATATCAGATTCAAAGGGGTGGCTTTATTTCGGTAATTAATTGTGTCGGCTACTGAAAATAGTGCCAATGGACTAAAATTCCGTTGGGCCCCAGAAACGTTGAAAAAGAAAAAAAAAAGGAAGAGGCTAGTGCAATGTGAATCCGTGGAACAAGCGCGTCCCACCCGTTAGGCGATTGTCCAATCAAAAGGCTTTGCTCCTGTCAGTGCGCCGAATTTGACAGTGTTCTGGAAAAGAATTGGAAAAAGGGGATTGGTCAATGGTTTTTTGAGTTCCGACAATCTAGAGCTCGTTTCTTTGGGGCCTAGGGGATACTTTATGGGGGCGAAGGGGGCAGAAGCAAAAAAAAAGAAAGAAAAAAAAAAAAAAAATAGAGAAATAAAACTACCCTCAGTCCTCTAAACATTTTCTTATCTCTGTCATCTCCAATACACTACTTCAAAATGGCTGTAACACAAAGGCAGCCTGTCAAACAGGCAGAACAGGTACGGGATATCTCCCAAATCACTCAATAAACAATGCGCATGTACTAATATTCTGCTTCTACAGCAAACCGACGTTCCCAGCTTGCAAGCCCTCAAAGATGCAATCCCGAAGGAATGTTTCGAATCATCCCTCACGACCTCCCTCCTCTACCTCGCTCGGGATATCATCTATTGTGCAGCTCTGATTTACGCTGCCCTTCACATTCATCTCCTCCCTTCTCTGCCTATGCGAGTTGTTGCCTGGGCTGTGTATGGGTTCTTCCAGGGCTGTGTTGGCACAGGACTATGGATTCTTGCTCACGAATGTGGCCACGGCGCCTTCTCGAAGCACCAAGGTATCAATGATTTCATTGGCTGGGCTACACACTCCTTCCTCATGGTCCCATACTTCTCATGGAAGATTACCCACGCTCGCCACCATCGCTACACCGGCCACATGGAGAAGGACACCGTCTTTGTCCCCTGGACCGAGGATGATTTGGCCTCGAAGAGAAATGTCAGCATTGAGCAGTTGAAGCACCTCGCCGAGGAGACACCCATTGTCTCCTTTATCCAGCTCATCGGACACCAATTGTTGGGATGGCAGATGTATCTCTTCCTGAATGTGACTGCTGGTACTAAGAGTGGCCCTGAAGGATGTGAGAAGGTGAAGTTTGAAAGCCACTACAACCCATCGAGTTCAATCTTCACGGCCGCCCAGTGGAAGCTTATTGCCTACTCCGACATTGGCTTGCTGATCATGGGCTCTATCGTCTGGTACACTGGAACTATCATCGGAGCGTGGAATGTCTTCTTCCTCTACGTGGTCCCCTATCTCTGGGTTCACCACTGGCTGAGTACGTCTTTCATTCCCATCTTACCCAAGACTCTAGAATAAGAACTAACCGAATCGACAGTTGCCATCACATACCTTCAACACACCCACCCCGAGGTTGCTCACTACACCGCGGAAGCCTGGACTTACACCAAGGGAGCACTGGCCACCATTGACCGCACAACCGGCTTCATTGGCCGTCACTTCTTCCACGAAATCATTGACTACCATGTGGTCCACCACCTCTTCAGCCGCATTCCATTCTACAACGCAGAGAAAGCCACCAAGGCCATCCAGCCTATGCTCGGTGAAAACTACCACGAGGAGAAAGAAGAGAGCTTCCTGTACTCCTTGATGATTACATTCCGCAAGTGCATCTATGTCTCGGAGAGCAAGGGACGTGCCAGTGGACAACCTGGTGTTCTGCACTTCGTTCTCTCGGATGAGAGCAAATGAGAATGGTACTGTCAGGTATCATAGACAGCCCTTTCATAAAATCATAGACTAGATTTCGGTTATAGATTTTGGTTATACCACCCCAAGGTTGTGCAAACAACGATATATTTCTCTGTTGTGTCTAACTCCTGATATGCATGATTTGCAATTAGATATAAGGCTAAATTATTGCGTGAACATAAAACATCTGACGAGAGCAAACCTATGGAAGTTATTGGTCACAATCAATCTCCTCATATCCCCGTAATAGACGGGTGTCCACTGCCCGTCCCCGTAAGAACCAAAAATTGAATGTTTTAGTCGGGTATCTAATCCATTATATCCACACAGATCCAGTCTTGCATAAAATCAAGAGGCGGCAAGTTGTAAGTTGTATGTGATGCACGTAGATGTCTGCACGACTAAGGAGAAAGTGATTAACAGAAGTGTCAAATATGTTGTTGATGACGATCTAACTACTGCCATGGAGCTCTCTAAATAGCTTCATGGGGACAAAGGGACTAAGGCCTGAAAGCTACAAAAGGGGTAAAGTGAGGTCCGACAACCTGCATCTAACTGTGTCATGTAGTCCAGGTTAGTCAAACGGGTTTCAGATGTCGTTGGCGCGTGATGAGTGTCAGTATATGGTTCGTGAGCTTTGACTAGGAGTTAGGTGAGTCGATCAAACGCAGCGTAGAAACGTCAAGATCCGACCAAGGCGGTTCAGTGTATCTAGGGTTGCTTTTATACCATCGACGAACCGAGACTCGGTAGCATCTCCCGCAGTGATAGAAGTGAATATCTTGATGTTGTGTTGAGGCTGAGAATAAGGCTTGCTGCGATTGCAATCCCTGGAAGTTATGGTAGGCTGAGTTGCGTCAATGATGGCTAGCTTAGCGTAGGAACTGTTAAGTGGGTGGGTGAGTGCAACTCTAAGATTTATAGGCCAAGAGGTAAAATGAGCCTCGTCAACAAGAGTGGAAACGACTTCCAAAAGTTTTCAGGTGACGAATCGACGAGGAAAACACTATGCCTTGATTGTGAAAGTAGATACGGGTATCAATAGTAGAGAATCGTGTGACGTCGGAATGGAGACTCAACAGTGTATGACGCGAAACTTAGACGGGGCTTGATATACGGTACCTATTCATGCTGACCGGTGACGTTGATACCCAAGTGCTTGCTAAACTGGGCGGCGGATGTTGGGAGAGGTTCAGATCCCATCACTACGCGATGAGACGAGCTTGTAAGTATTCGACCCCGAGGCCCAAGAAGTAGCTAGTACAGGAACATTATATATCGTGTTGAGAGACGTAAAAGATCAGCCATGATGATTTGTGGTGTGGGGTGGATCGATCATCGATGGAAAATGAGGTCGTGAGATGCCATCTACTACGAGGTGTGATTTCTCAGTAATAAAGGCGTATAATGTGAAGTTGATT